TGCACTATTGATTGACTCCGGCTTGAGGTCGTTGGACATGTGCCGAAAGATGGTCTTTAAAGGGCCGAATGTATCATCCTTGCGGAATATCGATCCTTTCGGAGTGCTCGTTGCGACGGTCGTTACCGGCCCGTTAAATTAGGCAGATAGAAGCAACCCATGGAGCCCTCGGATTGGAGTCGCACCCCGTGCCGAGACATGGGAGGAAAAGGGATCATGACGCGAAATTGGGGTAAGCACAGACAAGACCAAACGCGTGAAAGAACACGCTCAGAACATTCTCCCCAAATCTAATCATGTGCCAACCCTGACACTTGAATCCATCAGAGTTTCGAAGTCCGAAATACCAAGACCACGGCCGTCTCCTCCTATCGCGACACGAGGCACCGGCCACGCTGCCAACCGAGCGTATATCCACCCCATACCCCAGTTGCTCAACGTACGTGCGTGTATATGTACATCTCGGAGCGAAGAATTATCGGACGAACGTGTCACGGATTGCATAGCAACAGGCGGTCACAGATAACAACGTCTCGAGAACTAACCAGAAAAAAAGGCCCGACCTTCCTGGAAGCATCTCCGACTGAACATGCAGTATCCCATCCAAGACAGCGTTTAATCTTAGATACATTGTGCGCATCTTTACATCCATCTTTCTCCGACATCTGGTGTTGCTGGGGTTGCTGATCTTGCCAATGCTGTCGTCGTCGTAATCTCGGCTGGAGATGCTACATGGCGGATTTATCTCGTGCGGGATGTGCCTCTAGCCGATGCTACAAAGGCCACCCTGATCGGTGAAGGGAGTACAATGCTCGATTGGCGAAGACGGGGAACGCGCGGAAGGCCGCGGCAGAGGACCACAGCATGTTTTGTGGCTTGCCTTGTTCGGCTGGGCATCGTTTCGAGATGTTATTCGACGACTGGCAACGTGATTGTGACTGCATACAACAGGTCTTAGTGCCACGCCGGAAAGGCTGAGGTGTGCGTATGTGTTGATGGCGGGGTCTAGACGTTCATTCAATCCGCCGCATGCGTATGAGGCTGTCATCTACCCCAACCATGCAACATTGGTGGTGGCCCGCATCAACGGCGACGCGCTTCGCGCCTCACTTTCCCCGAATCTAAGCTTCCAACGTCGATGTGGATGGGTTTAAACTTTCTCTTTCGGTCTTGGGAGCGCACCGGCTTGCTCCTTACGAGTAGTGTCCAGATGGGGATGGAGATCGTGACCACAGGTTCTCTCAGGTTGCCGCACGTCTGATTACGGGAGTCGATGCGATGGCGGGAGGCATGATTCCGAGGCTGTGAGGCCAGACATGCCTAGAGTGGCTGTGAAACTCATTGGCCATCACGAACACGAAGCGAATTAGCGAAAACCTCGTGAGTAATGTATATATGTATCCACTTTTGTCACAGAAGAAAGCATGTCCAGGAATAGCGGGGGCTGAACAATCATCTTACTTACACAACATGGTTTGATGTGCAAGTCGTCATTCTGAGCCTAGTGGGCCATTAGCAGCAACGATTTTACATGATGATAACCTTATGATTTTCGCAAATGTTGTGTTTCCGCACCGGTGACCAATTGTTCACACAAGAAGACGCATTCAAGTCGGCGTCCAATGTGAAAAGGCCCCAGAATTGATCTGCGTTCCGTGTGCCCAACAGGGGAGCCAGCTCATGAGCATCTGCGGAGTATACTCCGCAACGTCTGAGTGAAAGCTCTCCCCCCCCTTCCCGCCATTGTCCACGACACGTTTGAACGCTGCCCAACGTTCGCCGTTCAGGTTTAGGTTGCTGCGGTTCGCGCGTTACTGTGCCACAATCCAGGTTTATCAGATCAAAGATTGGTAGGGAGCAAATGTCCGTAGTCCACTGTCACCCGTATTATGCCGGGAATCTTATTTTGTACATAGATAGTACACGCAATTTTGCAAAGACGACGACCCGGAGTGCATGCTCTTGCAGCCGATTCGAGTCAGTTGAAATGGCATGTTTTTGCGAGTGCTAAGGAGACGCCATATCCCTTATCTCGGCGTTAGATCCCCGGCCCTCCTAGCATGATCTACGCGACTAACAGGGTGCATTTCGGAATAATCCAAGGCTGACTGTTTAGTACTCCAAACTCTGAAGCAGATGACTTTGTTCGGACAGATCACCAATGGGACCCAGCGGACCCCCAGCTGAATCGCCAATACTCGTACGAGTGTTGGACTTACCGTATACTGAACGTAGCTTTTGTTAAGACCGCCTTCGCCCAGCCTCGTCGAGTAAGTATTGGCCGCAAAGACGTCACGCGTCGCAATGACGCCCGCGTTTCAATAGTGGATAATATCATCACCTCTCCAGGGTCCAAAGCTATGCACTCACCGGAGAGTACTGTTGCGCTGTTCGACCAATGACATGGCGTCGGAGAGAGGTCCGACTAGCCCATGAGCAACAGGAACAAGGGCAGCTGTCAATAATTGACCGACCCAACTGGTCGCCATCCGCCCACCTGATTGTACGCGGCTTTGTCTTGCTTTGCACATTGTCGCAACGATCGGGTTGCCGTGTTCGGATGGTGCAAGAGTGTGATGTGATGTCGCACATGGGTCGGGTTGCCGGATTGCATTATGATGTGTGGTTTTCACTTTGGCTGGCGTGCGAGTGGGGCGCGGTATACCGAAATAATCACGGTTCGCGACGGTTTAGACGCGGCTGGCTGGAAACAGTAGCAGAACGCATGTACGGGATAGACCGCTTGCCGCGGCTGTCACATTTGCGGTGTGCTGATTTTGTTCTTCGTTTGGGCTTTCCCAGTGCGGCTGGAGGTCGCTAAGAGCAGTCCGGCAACTTACTTACCACAACGTAGAGGGGGTGGAGAAATGAAGGGTGGAAAGGGAGGGGACACCAAAGATTGGAGCGCCTTGGCGATGCGGCGGGGAAATCTCCGGCGGGATGCGATGGACCAGACGTGTGGAACAAGATGGGGGCATTTGATTGGCTGCACATGTCGCTAAGCCCTACACGTCTACGCATGTATTTCGTACGCACATCAAGACGGGCTCACAAAGCAGCAGAGATGTAGTGTGCAGAAAGGGCTCGTGGTGAAAAGACATCATGGAACTTTTTCCATGCACGTCTGCATGTTGCGCATCTAGTAGCTCGTGGGCATGCGAAGGAACCTCTAGTGCACTCTGCGTGCCAATGACAACTTTGTAAAGTACTTACGTTGTAATACGTACGTACACATGTACATTTACACATGGGTGCAGGTACATACTACGTGCGGCAAAACCCGCGCAGGTATACAGAGTATAAGTTCTTTTTTTGGTCGACATTGCAGATGCGTCATGCTTTGTCAGCGGGGCCAGATACTCGAAGCGAGAGCACTCTTTGTGGCGAGTACTGTTGAGAATCGGCCCTCATCTTCCTTTGCCTTGTCGTACTGCATCCTCAATGTAGAGTTGAAGAATAGTAATCACGACAAAAAACAAAGGCATCAATACAAGGATCGCTGTATACATGCGGCGCACGATAAGGTAGGCGGGCGTTTTCAACAGCAGGGATGTGCCAACTCACCGATCATGGAGATATTGTGTGGTGAGATTAGTGCGTAATCATGTCACCTCACGTTACATGAGTCCCTGTAGAGTAAGGTAGAGGAGATGCCAGAGCATCAAACGCCTACTATCCGGATAATCGGCATCTTTTCTTGGGTGCTGCCGCATCACGTGTCGTAGGACGGTGGCACAAGAAAAAGTAAATATGCGAACTAGAGCAGGCGGAACGGCTAAGGCGCTGATTACACAGCGTGAGAGGGAAGAAAAAAAGTTGTCAAAAATGTCGCCCAGCCATGTGGTCGGAGGGTGTTACCGTACATGGCCGTTCCGAGAAGCCCCACAGGAACACTGACCGAGAAATATGACTGCTAATGCGCGCGCAAAACATGGGTCTTTTTGGTAAGGGACCTATGTTACGAGGTGTACGGCGCGGAGGACGGAAGAAAAAGCAAACATCGAAGGATCTAGGTGGCAGCGACTGGGTGAGAGAAGGAGGAGAAGCGTACCGCCTCCCATTGATAGGCGAGCCTGCGTGAACGGTGTGTGAGGGTCTTTGAGATATGAGGAAAAGCATTCACGTACGTAGCGAAAAAGAAATCGGTAGGATGCGCAACGCAAAATCGGTGAAGAGGAATGTAATGGTTGGTAGGTGTAGATCTGACACGACCAAATCCCATCAGCTCGAACACCTGTCTGTCGAATCAGACAACTAACTAGAGCTCTGCCGGCGGCACGCCTTGTGCTTCGTCTTGCTCATGCGTAGATCTAGACCCCACATCTCGCAGCGCCCGTACACACTAGTCTGATCGGTGAGTGAGCTGCAACTGCGGTAGTGTCCAATCCTCAGGGCATGCCCATTGTCGCAATTGGCGCGCTTTCTCCTGACAGGCGGGATATCGAAATCAGGACCCAGAATAGAGGAAGAGATCCAAAAAGAAAGGAAAAATAGAACAGAACGTTAGGATTACCTGAAACGGTAACAGACAGATCATCCACCCAGGCTTTGTAAGACTATAGAACAATTGATTGATTCTCCGGCGAAACGGACAGAGAGATGAAAATGACTAGAAATGCATACGAATTATGTCAGCGCTAGCCACCCAATGATGATGATGAAGTTGTTCTCCTTGCTACGTGCGCATACGTCTGGTTGCATGTATAGTCATGGCCGTCGATTGTGGGGAATATCGAGAGAAAAAAAAATAATCCAAAAAAAATAATTAACAGAAAGCAATGCGCCAGGGCCAAAATATGCAGGTCATTATGCACGATCCCAGATCTGTATCGGACCAGATCGTCCGTGACGGATGGCGACAAGATCCGAAGAGGGAGGGTGTACGAGCATGCGTCGGCGCATGCGGGTGTCGCTCCATACGGCAGGATGTAGATACGGGATCAGGTTTGGAAACCCGCCACCATACGTTGCTTTTTTCCTTTGTTGCTCTACGCCTGACATCACTCCAGACCCTGTTGCCGCTGAACATTCCTGAGGATTTCGAGGTCCATGCGCAAGATGGGCGAGTTTGGCGCAACGTCTTCAATGACGTTAATGGTGCGCTTAAATAGGGCGGAGAGTGTCGCTTTGGTGAGCCAGGTATCGCTTGGGAGAAGAGGATAGAGTTTCGACTTGTACACTGAGGCAAGGACAAGCATGTTTCCGAATTGTCTATGCTGGGTTAGCGGAATGCTATTGAGAAGACCAGGGGAGTCATAGACTTACGCGTGAAGTGTACCGAATATGTTTGTGACTACGAGCCTCTTCTTGCGTGTTGGGGTGAAATACTGGTATTTGCTACCAGGCTCTTCACCTACACGATCGAATGCAATCGTGCTGTGGATCGCGCTGTTGATGCATTGGCAAGCGACCTTGATAATCTTCTGCTGGTCCTCGCTCAGTTCGACCATCTGCACGTTCCTGTTTGTAAGGGGCTGTCCGTATGGGGACGGTGAGTTGTGCTGAGAGGCGCCCGTGCTCCCTGGAGGTGGGGGCGGGAACTCCAAAACATGACTCGCGAGCTTGAGATACGGTCGCAACATCATGTAGAGGCCACCATAGTACTTGGCGCGAACACGGGCAATGTTGAGATCGGTCGAGGGGTACTCGCTGTCGTCCCAGGCAAGCTCGGGTGAAAGTAGTTTCCTCCAGTTTTCCAATACACCCACGTGCGTGAGCGCGTGATAAGCGACTTCCTTGACACTAGTGGGGTCGAAGCTCATTCGTCCGCTGGGTCCGTACAAGGCGTTGTGTGCCACATTCAGGATCACTCGCAGAAACGTCTGGGTAGAGTAGAGCTTCATCATCAGGTCGTTCCGCGGACCCGAAGTGATGTCCTCTAGTTGCGCGGAGCTGCTGTCCTCTTGGATCCAGGTCTCGTTGACACCTTCAGGGTACATAATGTCACTCTGGTGCGCGGAGATACCGGAGGGTGGCAGGTTACTCATCTCCGCCAGAATATCACTAAAAAAAACTCTCTGTTAGTGTTGGGATCTCGATTTTGACAGTAGAAGCGACTTACGACTCGAGCTGCAGTGCTGTCCAATAAACACACATGACCAAATTTAATCGATATCGTTCCTTGGGACTCCAGAATTGTCTTTTCTCGTTGTTCACACGAAGGAGCTTGGTGTAGTCGGCTTTGATCAGTACCAGAGCGATACGGCATGCGTTGTTGATCCAACTCCAGCTCTCTAATACTCGTGCGAACTGACTGAGATAGAGTGCGGCCAAAAGCATGGCTTGCGCATGGGCGGTTGTGTTTCCACCTTGCTGGTTTCCGAGGATGTCAGTCGCGTAAGCGTAATAGGCCATACCAGGGAGAATGTCAATGTTTCGCGGGCGGCTATCTTCAGACGCCTCACTGGCAAAACTGCCATTGGCGTTTGGAGAGTTGCGGATGTAGCCATACTCGGAGTGAATGTAGGGATTCCGGTCGTTTTGCGGTGCAGGCAAGGGGTCTGTGTATGAGCAAACCTTGCCAAGGGCAAGAACAAGTAGAACAATGGCATTGCGCAATGAGCGTTCAATCTCGCCTCGAGCCGATGGCAATCCGTCCAACCCGCTCGCCGAGCGCTTTCGCTTGACGCCAGGATTGAGCTGGTGCACTCCATTGACAGCAGGTGATCTAACACTTGCGCCTCGCGATTCGGGGCTGTACTGATCGCTGAACTCTCTGAACATGCGTTTGAGTTTGATCTCGTTCATGAACGGATGGAACATGTGCATGCTGTCCATGTACGACTTGAGCAAATCAAACATGACATGACGACGGAAGTCAGGGCGGCCATCTGGGCCAAGGCCGCTCTGGTAGCTTTCGCGCGGTGTGCTGCTGGGCTCAGAGGGGCTTTGGTGGTCGTAAGGCGGATGGCCCCACAAGCCATCTTTGCCAGGCGCTGGAGATGCGGCCTCGGAATCGTTGCTGCTCTCGGGGCTACCAGGGCCTTGGGCGCCGTCGTTTAGGTCTTGGCCCTCACCAACACCCCAAACGCGCAGCAAACCACGGTCCTGCTCCAACTGCATCGGGTAATCTGACACTTCGCGGCCATTGTCGATTAGTCGTTTCAGGTATGGAATACCTTGATAGAAGATGTTCATTTGGGTCCACTCTTCGAGCAGTTTATGTGCAGGGGTAGTGTGGTCTCCTTGGAGGCCGGTCTGTTCTTTAGGGCCGGTCTCGGTAGCGTGGCTACGTTCGGTCCTCACACTTTCGGCAGGTGTTGCGGGTTGCTGCGGAGGAGGAGCAAACTGCGACTCCTGCTTGATGGGAGCAGAGGCATGAGTGCCAAGAGGCGACAACGTGCTCGAATGGGGGACAACTGGTGATTCCATCTTGAGGTTGCTGTGTAAACGACCCATTTGGCCTCTTGCTCCTTGAGCAGGCGTTGGCCATCTGGATGTGCTCTGATCTCTTTGGGTTGTAGAGAACGAGGCCTCGGGTGAAGCATGATTGGACATCATGTCGGCTCGCGTAGGTGGGAGTCTGCTCTCGACACCCTGTTTCCACGTGTTGAACTGATCTACGAACTGTGATAGAACGTCTGATATGTTGTTGACGCTCTCTTGGAGCTGCATCATGCTTCTGTCTTGCCTGGAAAAAGCGTCAGCGAGGAGGGGGTGACCAAACGTAGAGTGGAGGCGACGCACTTTGGTGGTGGGACATCTTTGTACTGGCAGTCAAAGTTGTTCTCTCTGCAGAACTGGCACGGCCGGGCTTCGTCACACTTTTGTTTTCGCGAACGACAGTGGTTGCAAGCCTGCGTGGCTCGGACCTGCTTCCTTCGTATTTGCTGTGCGGCGCCATAGTCGTTCATGTAAGGCGTGGGCGCGTAGGGAGTCACTGGCTGGGGATACTGCTGAGCAGGCGGTGGTGGTGGCTGCGCGTGGTAGGGCGGGGGTCCGTTGGGGTGAGAGGGACTCATGGCATGAGTGTAGCCATTCGCCATGTTGCCATTTGGCCGGTGCTCGGCGGTCATGGGGGGCCACGACGGGTGATGGCCACCATGCTCCATGGGTGGTTGAGGCTGTTGGGGCTGGACCTTGACGTCGGTACTGATACTGAGGCTGGTGGAGCGGGAGCTGTGAGGATCTGGAGCCGATGCTGACTGAGGCGTCGGTGGAGGACGGTAGGTTGAAATGCGGTCCTGGGGGATTGTCACAGTAGCGACTCCTGTGACGCCATTGGGATGCTGCCGGGGAGAAGGTATGTTGCGCGGATCCGCAAGGGCGCGGATGTCAGAGGGTGGCAATGATGGCGAGGGTAGCGGGCCTGGGTAGGCTTGGGGGTGAGCGGTGTACTGGTGAGAGGGAGTGGTGGATAGACCGTGGGTAGTAGGGTAGGGCGGAGAAGCCTGGGCCAAGGTGGGATGTGTCGGAGGGCGGGTGGGTTGGGTATGAGGCGGTGGAGGAGGGGGAGGGAATCCGTGGCCGTTGTAGTCAAGATTGCTGGAGCCCAAACGAGCTCTCTTGTTATGGGCGGGCGCGTCAGGATCAGCCATCCTTACATATGCCAGACAGAATCCGCTATGGCCATGCGGCTATGTATGACAGAGCACTACTGGGCACAATGGATGGTTCCAGGACCACCAAACGGCAAAAGCCAGGAAGGAAGGTCGCGGGGGGTGCAGCTGGTGGAGAGCGGCCTCGGCAGTCGCAGGGGCGGAAGGGACCAATTCACCAAAAAGGCAGCAAGTTGGTTGGTCAGTAGTGATTTGCAGATGACAGCCCAACCCGCGTCATCGCATGGAAGAGGGGAAGAGTTTGGAAAGCGTCGCAGGGCAAGTGCTCGGAGGCCAGAGTGGGATGCAGGACGGGAGCTTTCCTATGCCGCGTGCACGAAGAAAGGACCTAGTCTTGGGCAGGACGACCTTACCATGGAGCCGGAGACAACTATCCGAAGCAGGTAAAGGCGAGATGAATGAGTCGCGCGCGGTCAATGCTAGGACGTTTGTCGCTCAGTCGGCGAAAAGTGGCGCTTTTAAGACGGGCCGTGCGAACGAAGGGGCCAGGGCGCAATGAGAAAAGGCGCGAAACCACATCAGTCGCAAAAAGGAACAGCTCCAGGGCGCGATGCGACAGGGCGCGGGAGGCGGCCCAGCACTGGCTCAGGCACACGCGCTGCCGAGGGGGTCGGGTAGTGGTGGAGGTGGAGGTGATGGTGGAGGTGATGGGAGTAATATTAGGGCTGGTAAGGGTGGTGTTTGATGGTGGTGGTGGTGATGGTGGTGATGACAAGGGGGGGAGGAGTGGATTGGAGTGGAGTGGGGGGGAGGTGGACGAGAGGCCAGAGGCAGAGAGTAGCAGCAACAGCAGTAGCAGTAGTAGTAGTAGCAGCAGCAGTCAATGACACCAAGGCCCAGCGCACATGGGACGGCGACGGCGACGACGACGACGACGACTACGAAGAGGGCGATGGCGGCGGCGGCCGTGGGCAAAGGCAGGTGAAGAGACGGCCGATTAGCGCAAGGCAAATGGGCGAGCAGCGTGCACCAAAGGACGGTCAGAGACATCAGAGAGCTTCTGCAGCTTCGCTTGTGCACGCCCAGCCCGCGCAGGGTTGGGCGGGGGGTCCACCAGACGCGCAGTGTGGGTGCGTGTGTACACACACATACATATGTTAGAGGGGCGGGTGTGTGAGTGTGTGTGGTGTGTGTGTGTGTGTGTGTGTGTGTGTGTGTGTGTGTGTGTGTGTGTGTGTGTGTGTGTGTGTGGCTGTATAGTAGCATGTGTGTGGTGTGTGTCTGTATGCAGCCAAACCCACGCATGGCCGGATGCTCCAGGGCGGCCGCGGGCAGGACCATGTGCAAGNGTGTGTGTGTGTGTGTGTGTGTGTGTGTGTGTGTGAGTGTGTGCGTGTGTGCGTGTGAGTGTATAGTAGCATGTGTGTGGTGTGTGTCTGTATGCAGCCAAACCCACGCATGGCCGGATGCTCCAGGGCGGCCGCGGGCAGGACCATGTGCAAGTAGAGTAATTAGAGTAGTAACAGTGGTAGCAGGTCGCAGTAGTCGCACTGTCTCCATCAAACAATGGCGCTCTCTTCTGCCCGTCGCCCGTCGCCCGTCGCCCGTCCCCCCTCACCCTCCCAGGGCATTACCGCAACCGCTGCAGACAGCAAACGTCGCTCCCGTCCATGGCAACCGCGCATCCATGTCCATTCCATATCCATGTGCAATCTGCATCTGCCTCATCCGTCCACCACAACCTGCCCTGTCCCGCCCCGGCCCTTGTGGCTGGCCGTCGCTGGGCACTTTGTTTCGTGCGGCTTGCGCGCTTCTCCGCTCACCACCAACAACAGGCCTCTCTCCGCAGCGACCCTGGTGCAGCTTGAGGCAAGCCTGTCATGAGGGCCTTGAGTCGGACAATTTGCGCCCAATTGCTGGCCTCAAAGACTCAGGAAGCTGATCCGAGCTCGTCGAGGCACTAGTCAACATGCCCAGTCCTCCCAGCCTCCACTCTACTGCGGCACCAAGGCATTCGAGAAGACTCGTGGAAGTGATGCGCTGCAGGTGGCGTCCAGACAGCTCGTATGCCCTATCTTTTTCGGCCTGCCAAAGGATGGACGGGCTATGCTGCCCACTGCCCATTGCCACCGACCCTCGTGCTCGCACTCGCTCCCGCCCGCCAGCCCCTCGTTGCATGCCGCCCTCAAACCCTAGGTCCCCAATCTCCCTCAAAACAGACGTGGAAAATGTGCGACTATCATGGCTGCTACATAGCACTAAACCACTACTGCCACTGCTGCTGCCCAAAGATCTGCACTCGCACGCTGCGGATCCTGGCGAAACTCCTATAGGTAGCCTGGTGGCACATGGCCAAATGGTGCGTATACTCCCTGCACTACCCATTTGACCGCGTCGTACGGTTGCGGTGGGAAAACGCGGCTCTCGGCCTGGTACGTATGTAGTAGTGGTAGCATCACCACATTAGTTTCACCATGACAAAACACTCTCGGGAAAATCCTGGATTTCATTTAGCGCGCCATAAGATGCGACCGCCAGAATGGCGTCAGGAACAGTAGGCTCCCAGTCGACATGGGAGAAGGGCAGGCCAGGATCACCACGGCGTTATTGACCTGCCCCTCCATCACAACGTTGGTTCCGCTCCGCGCTGCGCTGCGCTGCCGCCGCCGCCCAGTCACCCTTGCACCACGGGAAGTCTCTGCTAATGCCCCTCTGCCAACAGGCACACACACACACACACACACACACACACACACACACACACACACACACACACACATTCTCTGCTCGACCGTGCCTCGGCATGGTCAGCTGCCAGCAAGGCATTAATCCCAAACAGCAGTGGCCGCTGCTGCTAAGCCCGTCGCAGCAGTGGCCATGGAAGCCATTTTTGTCAGATGACCAGCCGACTCTGCCCGGTCCTGTCCGCCGACGCTACGCCAAGTTGCGGTCTGCCTCAACCTCGATGATTGCTGCCAAAACCATGTCCGATAGACGACTCCTCTCCCCCACAGCCCGAGCCGTGTTTAACAAGGTCGGCCTGCAACCCTCGTGGGAACCCTGGCTTCGTCATCCTGGTGGCCGTAGCTTCTCCACGTGGAAGGCAGGAGGCGTCCAGTAATCCCTTGGGGAGTTCCTCACACGCCCTCTTGACGAGTCAAAGTCGGCCGATAAGTCGCCATCGAGTCGGTGTAGTAGTCGCGCTGCTTGCTTGACCGGATCAGGGCTGCTCCTACACAAAGTTTTGCGCCCTAGAGAAGGGCAGGCCGTGTCAGTGGTCATGATTCGCGCCTAGCCTTACGTGCCGCCTGCGATGACATGCCCTGGCCTGCGGTTGAAAGCTGGAGCTCACAGCAAAGCGGCACAACAGTTGCATTGCTGTTCCAAAGCTTATTGGAATATGGAAACTTTGTGCGCCTAGTCCAACGAAACAACCAGAGCCCGGCTTGTGACGTTGAGGCTGGCAGCGTGTACTAGGTATGTACATATCTAGTAGTATATAGTGATATGCCAGTACGTAAAACATCAAGTTTCTGTCCCACTACTGTTCACCAAGCGGCGTGCGCATTCCTTGCCTCCACGGAGCGTTGTGCCAGGGGTGTCGTACGAGACGCAAACTCTGCATGCAAGCGAAGCAGCCTCACATTCGATCAAAGCAGCCGGTGATTCAAATGCATCGGAAATCCCGTCGTCTCTACGGCGGCCGAGTGAGTACGACTACTATATCAGTGTATTGTTATACAGCAGGTGGCGGCTAATACCCCGAAGCTCCTGCCAAGACTTGTACCTGGATAATGACTGCTCGTTACACAAAAATCCTTCGAGCGGCAGCGCCACATGTATAATTATTTTGGCCTGCATAGCTACCAGAGCTGACAACATGAACCCATCTGGCTTAGATCAGTACTTTACTGCAAGGTGCACATTTACTGGAAGGCGCACATTGTGATTGTTTTTGGTAGCCCCTGAAAGGCTGTTTGAACGCTGAAACGCCACAGTGGCCGATCAGTAGCGCTAACATGGCGACGTCACGTCTTCCTCTCATGAGGAGCACAACATCGCAAACAGCAAACATCTCATGCACCGTCGTCTAATTCCCTTCTCTTGCATAGCATAGCATCTGCTCTACACCTTCGCTCACCATGGTCTCTGCCACCTGGGTCTTTAGCGCCATCGTAGCCTACACCATCTACAAAGCTACCTGGAGATATCGCCGCCATCAGCGCAATATCGCACTCGCCAAGAGCTCAGGGCTGCCTGTAGTCTCGGTGCCTTGGAATATCTACAATCGTTTCTGGCTGGCCACATTCAAGTTCTGGACGCTGCTGCTGCGAAAAATTCTCCCAAGCTCCCTGACGGGCCTGTGGTTAGAGTATGTATGGACAATAGCGCCAATTGTCATGTGTTGACCATTGCCTTGCAGAATCCTACAGGCAGAATGGAGCCATGTCACTGGATACAAATATTTCAAGGAGATTGGCAAAGACATATTCATCGCCGTCGCCCCCTCTGGAATCGATGTCTATGTCGCTAATGCAGAAGCCATCACCCAAATCACTGCCCGTCGTAATGACTTTCCCAAGCCTCTTGAGATTTACAAGTCCCTCAACATATATGGTAAGAATCTCGTGACTACCGAAGGGACTGAATGGCGCAGCCATCGCAAACTTGTAGCACCGAGTTTCGGTGAGCGCAACAATGAGCTCGTTTTCAACGAAACACTTCATCACGCAAAATCGCTGCTTAGTCTCTGGGCGGGACCCGAGGGAAGAGGCAACAAGACCGTAATCGATCCTTCTATAGCTTCAATGAACTTTGCTTTGTACATCATTAGTAGCGCAGGCTTCGATGTACGGGTTACCTGGCCGCATGAAGAAGGTAAGGAGGAAACAGTCAGCAAGAATACAGAGCAGTCTATTTCTTTCAGCTCCAAAGCGCCTCCTGGCCATACTATGAGCTATCGAGAAGCGCTCAGTGAGCTGCTTCATAATATCATATGGACCCAGATAATACCTATCCCATGGCTTGGTAAGATATATCAGTACCACTTGTAATCGAAACAATGACACTGATGCATTCTATTAGAAAAGTCTCCGTTTGCGGCACATCGTAAAGTCGCCGAGGCAGCTGCCGAGTGGGGCGCTTATATGAACGAATTGTACGAGACCAAAAAGACTCAGTTTCTTTCCGGTGAAGGCAAGAAGGGAATGGATGTTTTCGAATCTTTAATCCGCGGTAGTGGTATCACAGACGAAAACGCCCCACTTGTCGATAAGAGCGATATACTCGGTAACGCTTTTTTGATCATGCTGGCGGGCCACGAAACAACAGCAAACACGCTACACTTTTCGCTGATTTATCTTGCAATCCACTGGGCATCCCAGAAACGGTTACAACAAGACATTGACCGGATATTCAATGGTAAACCCACCAGTGAATGGACGTACGAGGAGCATTTTCCTAAGCTTTTCGCAAGCATGCCAGCTGCAGTCATGAACGAGGTGCTCCGGCTATTGCAGCCAATTGTCAACATTCCAAAATCAGTCACGCCAGAACAATCCCAGACCATTCAGGTGGACGGCAAGTCATACACTATCCCTGCAGGTGCCAACGTCTTCCTGTGCTCGTCTGTCCATCGCAATCCGAGGTATTGGCCCGCACCCGAAAATGACACAAACGATGATGGTATGTCGGACCCGGATTGTTTCCGACCTGAGCGCTGGTTTACAAAGAACAATCTTTCGGAATCTTTTGTCGAAGTTGACTACGACGACGAGGCACTACGTGGACCATCCGGCGAAGACACGTCATCGGAGCTCTTTAAACCTGTCAGAGGGTCCTATATCCCATTCAGTGATGGTGGCCGATCCTGCATAGGGCGACGCTTTGCGCAAGCTGAGGTTCTCGCAGTGCTAGCTGCTATATTCGCGCAGTACAGTGTCGAGCTTGCCGTCGATGACTTTGCTTCTGACGAAGAGGTGGACAAGATGCCAAAGGGAGGCCAAGAGCGACGAGAGGTATACAACAAAGCTGTAAACAGGGCCCAGCATGCGCTTCGATACAAAGTTGCGTCCATTATTACATTACAGCTGCGGGGCACTTCTATACCTATCAGGTTGATGAAGAGAGGAGAAGAAAGGTTCGCTTTTGACTAGTTTAGGCATGACAAGGGGGTAGTACGCACCTGAACTTATATGCAATTACTCATTCACCAAATATGAGAGGTAAATGAAGTACAAAGTATTATCTCTATCCATGTATTGTTGGTGCTCAGAACAGGAGCTACCCCGCATCACGTCACTTTGGAGAAGCTACCCCACTGACTCGCAACGTCCATGTCAGCCATAACAACATCCCAATGTGTTTTGTCTGGAACAACGTTGTAAACAAACAACAAAAAACATCGATTTCTCCGTAGTAGCTGAGACTAACTCAATAGATACCCCGGAACATCGCAGAGACCCTTGGCATCGTTGTCAAGCTCCACAATGCCACCCCCAAGCTTCCCACCCGAAGAGCTCCGGCTGATAGTTCAAGAGGTGGCTACTCTTCTCAAAGAGCGCAAAGAAACAATATCAGTTGCAGAAACAGTCTGTGGACCCTTTTTACCTACCAATGGATATATGATACATACCTAAAGCTAACTACCCACGACCACCTCACAGGCAGCAGGCGGCCTCATCTCAGCAGCGCTCCTGTCTTTCCCCGGCGCATCATCCTACTACCGCGGCGGCCTAACCCTCTACACGCTCGAATCGCGCATTGCGTTTGCGGGCTGGACCCAAGAAACCGTCTCTGGCTACAGCGGCCCCACGCCAGCCGTTGTCTCAGGTCTAGCCGAGCACACGCGCAGCAAGCTGGGCAGCACGTATGCTGTCAGCGAGAGCGGGACTGCAGGCCCCACAGGCGGCAGCACCAGGAACCGCACGCCGGGATATGTGGCTCTTGCAGTGGCACGCGAGGGTGGGGACACGGCGACGAGAGAGGCAGAGACGCGCAGCTCAGAGAGGGAAGGCAACATGGTGGCTTTTGCGGTTGAGGCGCTCAAGCTCGTTAGAGATGTTATCAAAGCGGATGGCGGTAAGCTGTGATGGGAATCAACACAAAATGGGTCAATGGGCGGGTGGGGCGACTAGACTAAGTGAGTAATTCGTGCGAGAAACAGAAGGGACCCCCATTGCGTATGTGTGTGTGTGTACCGAGGGCATGGTTAAAGGGTTGTTTAAGCGTACAATCTTGATCTACTCAACGTTTTCTGGATTTAGGGAAAAGCCACCGTGTGAAACTGACGTTGACCCTCACACTCGGAACATAACAATTCCTATACTAATGGGTTGGTGTGCTGTAGTAGTAGTAGTAGTAGTAGCGAAATTTACCTGATTTGATCGGTATCAAGATTATTAATCGCTGCCCCAACAGTTCCCTTCCCCCCTTCGCTTGTGCTCCATACGCGTTTTATATCCGTGGGATGTGTCTCTGTGCGTGTGTGATACCGGAATTTTCCCTTTCGGGGGGGAGGGTGGGTAGTTCCCACATAATTTTCCCCCCCTTTTCTCCTCGTTCACAGCCGGCGTATGCGTAGTAGTGTTAAAAACGCAAAATGAGGATTTCCCCAATTCCCGGACCCAGCTCGTCGGTTGTCACACCACAACACACCTTAACCGCCATTTTGGGGTGGGGTTTTTTTATACCAAGGAACAACCCGGGGGGGGGGGTTTCTTTCGAAGCGAGAATGGTGAAGCCACAATCACACATACACGTAACGTACTTTACCGATGAATGTACCCCCTTCCGAGTGCGTGTTTCTGGGTCTTTCCCTTCCGCGGGGAGGAACCATGGTGTGTTACCGTGCGTTTGGGGCTGGGCCCGGCTAGGCGGCCCAGATCCTGCTAATGCCACCACCCCTTCCACGATTAATGTGGCGTATGTACAATGCGGCACGGCGTATTCCCTTCTGCTTTCTTCCTTTCTTTCCACTATACAAGTGCTGCCAAGATTGGGGGGAGGGAGTTCAGCTCATCCCTTACTTACATACTACTGACGTCGAAAATCCACCTGCCGAGACATGTACACATCGGGGTGCACGCGACAAGGAGGATTTTTTTTCTTCTCGCCCTTCCTCCCATCCCACGCCTTTCATGCTCCAATTCCCGAAAGAAGGGAAAGGCAGGATTGCAATGTCCCGGGATTTTTTTTTGTTGCGCCACGTGTGATTGTATGCAGCCCTATACCGAACTCCTGTTGCTGCAGGATCTGAAGGATTCTTTGGAGGGGATGGTGGTTTCACCACTCAAGTGGCAGCCCCCCCCCCCCCCCCATATATCAGTGGTCCGGCTAGATTTACCCGGCGAAGGATTTCGTTATGAGTGGATTCGGGGTTCATGACCGTTTTATTGATATGTTCGTGTTGTGAAGCAAGCGGGTTAGCGATGGAGGGCCGCGTGGCGAATGCATGAGTGGCTGAGATTATATCTGGGGAAAAGAAGTTGGTTGTATGTGGAGGTTGCATTTTCTTAGGTTAGAATTTTAGACTACGGGAATAAGTGACGGATGAGTCACATGTGTGCTTGAGCATCTTGTGATTTTTGGGATACTAGGGTTATCCCTTCTTTAACAGAGAGAAAAGTCCTTCGAGTAACTGCACGATCGGTGGAATGACAAATATGGGAATTTGTCACTGGGTATTTGCATTACAACAGAGAAGAGTCATGATACAGGAAACTATCCAAATCTTAGTTTGGAAACAAATGGCCTGCCAATCTCTTCTGGAAAAATAAAAATCTAGTACGTTATACACCAGCCAAATACAAACGATTAAAAGTTGTAGAAATAGATGAAACCCATCAAACCATCACTTTCAAAATCTTCCATTCCCTGTTATTCTCTTCAAACTAATACCAAATGTATTAGATGAAATCAACACAGTGTTCATATCATCAAGTTATTTTACACCCCACATCTATCCAGTACCAAATTTTGCTAGTCAGAAAGTCCCTTATACCAAGTCTCTTTCGAACTCTTTACCTACTGACTTATTGCCATGCATAAGCATTCACAATATACAAAGGTGCAGGATGGGCTATGAGTAATTTCCTTCAACTATTACTTAGACCATGGTCCCACAATACTCGTTTTCTATTTGTAATAAAACAAGGCATTTGAATTGAGAGAAATGAGATCATGAATAGTAATGTAATGAAACTGCAAACATACTGACCTGTAATCCAACCATTTACTTTTCCCTCCAAAATACACAACGTTCAAGGCCATGAGAGCTAGAACTGTATTCCACCAAAATACTTGATACGCGAAGAGGAGTGTAAAATCACCACATACACACACGAAACAAGACAAGAACACTTTGCACATAGTACTACTGCATAATCTTGCCATCTATACCAAGAAACTCAAGAGCTAAAAAAAACCATCTATAAATTTCCTTTTTCCCATCCTTCATTGATCTCACAGAAGATTGACTCCCCAACTCCGCACAACCATCTTCATTCCACCAACGGGTATTCGCGCGCGTCAATTCATACAAAACTCTCTCCCCCCTTGTCTCATTCCCCCTTCACAGTTGCATGTTTAGCTAAAACAAACCAAAACATGCTTTACAACTCATCATGTGCATCAGGCTCCGGCATCTTAATCGGCTCCTGTGGCCTACCAAGCTCAGCATCAATGCTAACACCGCTTTTCTTCCTGTACTTCTCCCAGACGCTCCAAAAGTCCTTTTCCATGCCCTTGTCCATCTGGTCGGGCAAGACGACCACGTACTCGACGTGCAGGTCACCGTATTGCAGACCCTCGTTGTTTTCTAGCTGTTGGTGCCAGACGGGCATGCCTTCTTCCTTGATGATTTCAACGAGGTTGGGCTGTACGACTTCGCCGCGCTTGCGCGAGAGCTGGACAATGTGGCCGTCGAGATGCGTGACGTTGCGGGTCCAGTCACCCATCCATGCTTCTCGGAGAGACAGAACCTCGCGCCAGAAGAGGTCCTTGCCCCGTCTTCGGAAGAAGGTACCATCTGTGCGCTCGTGTTCTTGCTGGCCAAATACAGGATCGGCTTCGGCGAGATGGACGATAAGGTCGCCAGCAACGTAGTCCGGACTCTCGTCTGCTTCATTCTCATAGGTGATGCGTACGCCATTGGGCATGCCCTTCTCAATCTCGAGTTGGTGCGTCTCGGATTCACGGATAACCCTACTACCGCTGCAGACCGGACATGGGTGCTTGATTGTCTTGCCTTTGCCGTGACATTGGTCGCAATGTACCTGGACTTGCTGGAAGAGTCCCGGTGCGAGTTGTTGTCGTTGTATGCGAACACCTCGTCCACCACATGTGCCACAGGTCTCTACGTGTCCATCTTCTGAACCTGATCCCTCACAGGCCGAACAGATTGCTTGCTTCTCAATCGTGAACTCCGTCTTGCGGCCATTGTAAAAGTCACGTAGAGGAATGGATACTTTGACTTCCATGTTCGGCCCTCGTCGCTCCCCGCCATGATGTCCAAAATGCCCGGAACCACCGAAGAAGCGCGAGAAGAGGTCAAAGGGATCGTGATGCTGGCGAGGACCACCGCCTTGTTTGTGCTGTTGAATGCCCTCATGGCCGTATTGGTCATAGATCTTGCGTGTTTCTTTCTCGATGAGGACTTCGTAGGCTTCTGCAATCTCAACGAATTTCTGGTTTGCTTCTTCGTTGCCACTGTGACAAGTTAGCAGGCTGCTGGTGGACTAGTGTAGTATTGGACGTACGGGTTCTTATCGGGATGATATTTCTTGCTCAGATTTCGGTACGCTTTCTTGATCTGGCGCTCTGAGGCATCCTTCTCAAGACCCAGTAGCTGCGCGACTTGGTTAGCCGATGCACTTGGAATTGCGATAGAGGTAAGAGTATGAAACGCATAATATAGACTCTACATACCTTGTAATAGTCTTCTGCGCCAACAACTAGCAGCGCCAGACACGCGACCACAAAAAACAGCGCTATCCGTAGAAGCATGGTGCAGTATGAAGTGCGCCAGCGGCGACTTTGAACTTGGGAAAGTGAGTGGACGGAATGTGCGTATCCGAGATAAATACGAGAACAACTGTCTACATGAAATTCACAAACATCTAACGAGGTCGGGCGACCTCGAAACTAAAGGGAAGGGAGGGGGAAAGCCAAGTTGATACGAGAGGCTGCGAGTGAAGGGTAAAGTAGTAGGGTTCGGGACACGATAGCAGTAACGTAGATTATGCGACCAATCGGAGTTAAGCCTTGGCATCACCGACATGACTTTTTGTGCGCGGTGGAAGAGCTGGCGCGAACCCGTTGATCGAGGCTGCAGCAGTTCCCCACGTCCTCCGACCCGCCGTCAGATACCCCCAAACGACGCATTGAGTTGCTGTCTTGACCTGTCCGGACTCGGGCTTAATACACAAAGGCCCTTGTAGCGCTAGCGCACCTCCGCAAGACCTCCGCATCCACCACACACGACCCGAACCACCACCACCACATAGCCGCCCGTCATGGCGTCAATAGCGAACAAAGCCAAGGCTGGCAAGCCAATTGTGCAAGAGTATTTTGCGAGTCACAAAACTGGTGTCGTAGTCTCGGCGGGGAAGATGTCAAAGGCAGTAAAAGTGCGAGTCGCAGAACAAGAATGGAATAAAAAGTTTAGAAAAGTAAGATTGGTCAATTGAAACACATACAAATCTTTCCAATGCTAACAAATAGTCGTAGCATTTTCCTGCGCCCAAAAACTACCTTGTCCGCGATCCTAACAACTCCCTTGTCGAAGGCGACGTCGTCCGCATAGCATCAGGCCATCGTACCTCCACAGCCATTCACCATGTCGTAACCTCGATTGTTGCGCCCTTTGGCGAGCCTGTCGAGAAACGTCCACCAGTCCTTACCGAGGCCCAATTAGACGAGCAGCGCATCAAGGACCGGTTATTGAAGGATGTGAGGAGTGCCGCGCGGGGGAGGCAGGTCAGTGTGCAGAGATTGGCACAGGCAAGGAAGCAAGGGTATCGGATACCGACGTTGGAAGAAGCCATGGAGCGCATGAGGGTGCATACAGCGAATGAAAAGGCGAGGCTAGAAGCGCATGGTGGACAGGCTGGACAGCAAAAGACGGCAAAGGAGAGGAGAGTCGAGGCGGGGAAGAAGACCAAGGAAGAGGCCAAGGCCGAAAACAAAGTAAAGGATGCCAAGAAGCAGACTGTATAGTGACATACACAAGAGATGGACATGTAAAATTATTGTATGCCCCAAAAGGCCACCGCTGGAAAGCATGGTATTGCACGCAACGTTTGAGTCATCACGTTCTACATGATACCATGTTTCCTACCCACCACAACGCCAAATTCAAATCCAACCCAATGCCCAGGGTATCAATATCGTTTCCATACAATCGTGACCAAGCCCAACAATGGAACAAACAACACAACCTTCTACGCAACTGTCTGTACAACCTTGAAGCCCTCCGACACCAGTTTCTGAATCTCTTCGTCCTTGTGTTGTAGCTGAGCCAGCGCGTATGCGATGTCATTCCACTGCCTCTCGTTCTCGGCCCTTGGAAGCCTCGAAGCAAGTTTGGCAGAGAGTTGCTTGGCGTGTTTGTCCTACACAGTATTAGTATCGATGCTGCAAGATTGTGTAGTCTATTGTAAATCCATACCTTCTCAATAAATCCAGCCAAAAACTTGATGATTCTCTTCAATGCCTCCTCGCTGAGGCCTGTGTCTGCACTAAGCACACTGAACATATCAATGAACTGATTGTAGACAGCGTTGTCCTTGGTGGATAACTCGGTGAAGAACATGCGTGCCATGTCGGCAATCTTCTTGTCACTGTCCTCGAGACACTTGGCCATCTCGCCTAGTTGACCCTTGACCTTGACCTGACCTGCTAAGATCAAGAAAGTAAGCGTCATTAGACAAGTGCGCTTGACGCTAGGGTCGCCATCATTCAAGCGGCGGTAGAGGAAGTCGGTGTTTTCGTCAATGAGGTGGTTAAAGCACACTGCCATATCGCCAAGTGCTACAACAAGATTGCTGCGGACGACAGCATCCTGACTTCTCTCGAGGATGGTGAGCAGCAAGCCAAGGTTAGTCTCGCAGTACTCTGAGCTTACACACATGAGCTTCGCCAAGCAGAGTGCCGCTTGAGCTTGCAAAGTCGGATGATTGTATGATGTGTTGTTGGCGCAAATGTCCGCCACCAATGGACCAAAATTCGCCAAAAGAGACTGCGGACCATATAGAAGCTCGCGTTCACGGACATGCGCAATGGCTTCGGTAAAATCATCCTCAGTAGTACCAGCCATGAGATCAAGCTCGTCAGCTTCCTCAGGCGCTGGCGTAGGCTCCTTGGTAGCGCCTCGTTTGCGGCCCTTCTTCAAGGGGGTAGGATCGCCCGACGATGCCATCGACTTTCGAGGAGCAGATGCGTTTTTCTTATCCTTTTCAGCTTTCCGACGCTTGAACTCAAGTTCACAAAGCTCAAGGTGAACAATCTGCTTGATTGCAATATGGCCGACAACGAAAAGCAGCTGCGAGAGAGCGAGGGCAGAGTTTTGCTTCTTGGGTTGCGGCTCCTCGATTGGAGGTGCATCTGGCATTTCCTCATCCTCCCCTTTCGGCTCAACAGCGCTTGAACTTGATGTAGGGCGTGAATCGGATTTATGCTGTCCAGCAAAGACACGCTTCGTGATCTTGCGGATGATTTCTGAGCACAAGACATCGGGGTGCTTGGATAGGACATAAATGGCACTGATAGCCTGCTCTGCTACTCCATACCACTCTTTGCTGTCCGAAGTCATTTCTGTGATTGCAGCCAGCCTCACCAATACTGCGTGATCGTTTGGCAGTTTCACAGTTTGAGCTGGAGCGTCACTGGCGGCCTGCTTTCCGGGCGGCTGGCTCATGCGGCGAAGAGCTATGCAAGTGTACCGGGCCAGTCCCAGGTCTCGCCTACCAAGCTCTCCTAGGCCAATTTTAAGGCAGGTCTCCATTTCCTGCACTACAATGTCTGGTGTGGAAAGTGCCAGCATACCCAGAACGATGATAGCTCCTCGGCGCTGGTTCTTGGAGATGTTTTTCTTCTGGTAGCCATAGATCTGCCAGAGCTTCTGAATGACTAATCCATTGACCAGGCCCTGCTTCATCATCGTACTGAGAAGCTGCTCGAGGGACGTCAGTTCTGCCGGCGTTGTACCGAAAGTCAAACTGATCATGTTCTTTGAAATGTAGTTTGCAACCGCGTTGTCATCGAAACCGGGCGGTGCGTCAAAGAACAAGCCTTTGTAGCATTCAAGCAGATGAGTCTGCACACCCTTGCCTTCGTCACTGTTGCCTTTGGTCCAGATGAGTCGTAGCATCCTCCGGATACCAAGCTTTGCATTTGCAATCTTGTACGCATCGATGGTGGTGAAGAAGTCCATGGCTTCGATGACTTCGCTCTTGTTCTTGGATGACAATAACTGAGTTATGATCTCAGCGGCATCGTTGATGACTTCAATGAACTTGAGTGCTTCTAGCAGGAACTTGCGTACTGCTTGGAATTTTTCCAGCTCTTGCGCCGTGGCTGCATCTTTCTGAGCTTTTTCGATGGCAGCAGCCTTCTCCTCTCCGCTCATCTCAGATGGATGCTTCGGTCCTTCCTCATCCCCAACATCAGCCTGTGTTGCATCCTGCAGCAGTGTCTCATCGACCGTCTGATCACTCGGTGGGCGTTCCCTCAACTCTTCTGGAGGCTGCAGGGCATTGATTTGGGCTTCACATTCTTCCAATCGCTTAGTCCAGTCCTTTGTCGACAGCAATCCTCCATCAAACGCCGTGAAGGGATGGGTTGAGATGAGTTTGGCAAGTAGCTTAATCGCATTTCGGCGAACGTTGCTACTTTTGTCTTCAAGACTGCGAGCAGCAAGTTCGGCGACCTTTTGTCTGCGCTTGGGGTACTTCTGCTCTAGATCACAAAGTTTAACGTAAACCTGCATTACCCTAGCACGACAATAGGGGTTAATGTCGAGGAAGCGGTCTTCCAGCACATCGAAGAAAATTCGTATCTGCGCCTTGTGGTTTTCGCTGCGGTCGTCTTGACTCAGCTTGCTAAGCATAGTTATGAGGTTTCCGCAGACTTCGATAAGGGCGCAGCGCAAGGTATACGACTCGCTATCTAGCAGGTTTGCAAGCAGTGTCATTTGTCGGATGACAAGATGTGGTGTGAGTTCAGAAATCTTGGTAAGGAAAGTCGAGATAGACTTTGGACCTTTGAGATCGGTGGAACTGAACTCCTTGCTGCTGATGTCTTTCAAGACATCTTCGATTAGTTGTGGATAATCAAACGCATCTGCAAGTGTGAAGAGAAACTCCGCCATAGGCTCTGACAGATGCTCAAAATATGTCAAGCTCTGGTTGATGGATGTTTGTGCGGCTATCATAATTGTCAGCAGAGGTACTCAGTGGAATCTTAGTGTACTTACTGTATGCATGTCCGTGCGATTTGACGGCAAAACACAAAACTCTGAAACAATGATTCCGTATGGCATTGTTCTTGACCCTTGCCTCATTCTCAAGGATATGGTATACCGGCTTTGTGAACAGACCGATGAACGTGTCTCGCTCTGATGTAGTGACAAATATACGGCCCAACTTGAGTCTAAGCACCTTGCTCATCCGGTCCAATGCTGTCTCTAATTGGGCAGAGGCATCCCAGGCGCTCTCTTTGCCTCCGCCGGTTTTCGTCTTTGTAGTCTTACCCCGCCCCCGCGCTGCTGGGGCAGAGGCGGATTTCTCTAGTGCTCTTGTTTCGACTGCGGAGATGGTCCAACGAAGGAGAAAGCCATACATTTCGAGCAAATTCTTATGGTGAGGTATCGCATCCTGCTCTTCAGCCTCAAGGTCTGCGTGGATTATGTCGGCTTGAGTAGACAATGCGGAGGATAAGAGGTCGAGAATCTTGCTGAGAATTGCGGGAGGAATCTGCGATGAGTGCCTAGAGAGCCGGAACAGTTTATGATTAGGTTCTGTGTCATATGTTTTTACGTGCTTTGGATATGCGGGAACGCACTTCAGCAGAAACTGCAGAGTATCAAAAACAGAGCTGCGAGTAATCGCATCTGGGCTCTCTGCCACGGCATCAACCACAGGATTCAGCTCGCTGTTGATCAATCCGGGCGACGACAGCGCTTCTGGCTCATCTTCGCAGTCTTGTAGCGCTTGCGGGGCCTCGGGCGTGGGGATCGTCGAAGGGTCGCTGTCGAACAGCTTGACCGCCTCATTGATGTCGAATTCCACGCGCGCATCCATAATGGTCAGAATCGCTTGCGGAATCAAAAGACAAGAAGGCCAAAACAAAAAGAAGCGACGAAAGGGTCGTCGAGGGTGGGGTTGTTTGCTAAGGTGAAAGGGACAAATGCGGGCCGTCGTCTCACTTGGCGGGAAAGCGCGTTGCATGTGTTTATTGGCCCGTGCGCGTTGTCATCATGCTTCCCCTTCCGGCCTAGTAATCGTCCAGGGTTCAATCGCGGAACGCGTCTCCCAAACGCTGTGCAGAGATTCGTGCATCATTCTGCACCCCATAAGAAGGCCACTCACAGACTTACCCTCCTCCCATGGCAAAGGCACGCACTTCACTGCGGAATGCAGAGGCCATTGACGTTCACGAAGACTCTATAAATGCAGAAGAGTCTGAAGAGACTATGGACGAAAGCATGGATCCGCTCGACGAGAGTGGGCAAACAGTCGACAGCAGCGACGAGGAAGTCGAGGATTCCGTCCAAGAAGACATGGCGCGCTTCGAAGAGACATTTGTCGGTATCAGCAAGCGCTTTCGACTGATCAACCGCATTGGAGAGGGTATGTCCCCCATCATTGGCTTGCAGTCATGCAGGGTACCGGGGGTCGCTCACACTTCGTCACAGGAACCTTTTCTACTGTCTACAAAGCCGAAGATCTCGAGTACGAAAAATACAACAACGACTGGGATATTGACGAACGAGAAAAGAACAAGAGCATGTCCCCTTTGCGCAGGAAGCAGTCCGCCCGCCGCCCCCACTATGTGGCCATCAAGAAGATCTACGTTACCAGCAGTCCGATACGCATCTTCAATGAGCTCGAGCTTCTCTACGACCTGAGAGATTCAGACTCAGTGTGCCCCCTCATCACTGCTTTCCGTCATTTGGACCAGGTGGCTGCTGTGCTACCTTACTTTCAGCATCGCGACTTTCGAGATTACTACCGCGACATGAAGATTTCCGATATGCGCTTCTATTTTCGAAGTTTGTTCACTGCCCTTGCAGCAGTACACAAGAAAGGTATTATTCACCGTGATGTTAAGCCTACCAACTTCCTCTACAACACATCGCAATCGCGTGGTGTCTTGGTCGATTTTGGCCTTGCGGAACGAGAAGGCACAGATTGGCACAACTGTGCCTGCCACTTGAACGAAGAGGATCGTCGCTACAGGGTATCCCACAGCGTCTACGCCCAGACACAATCAGCAGGTCACAACGCTTCCGCCTATCCCAAGAACGACACTCGCAACAGCAGACGCGCCAACCGAGCAGGCACTCGTGGCTTCCGTGCCCCTGAAGTGCTTCTAAAATGCACTCAGCAGACCTGTTCTATCGATGTATGGAGTGTGGGAGTCATACTTTTGACCATGCTCTCGCATCGCTTTCCCTTCTTTCACAGCGCAGACGACATTGATGCGCTACTCGAGATCACCACTATATTTGGAAGAAAGAAAATGCGGGAGACAGCACTCCTACATGGCCAAGTCTTTGAGACGAACATACCTAGCTACAGTGAAGGCGGTCACAGCCTAGAGAAGATTATCCTTTGGTGCACAGGCCGGACAGGCGACAAGACCCAGCCCAAGAAGGAGCTTGAGGAAGAAGAGAAGGAAGCCGTACAGTTCTTGTACCGCCTTTTGGAGTGCAACCCAGCAAAGCGAATCACCGCCGCTGAGGCTTTGGAACATCCCTTCCTTGCCAAGGTTGAGGAAGAAAGCGAGGCAGAGCAGAAGGAAGCGGCTGATTTCGCCGAAGAACAAGAATAGCCACAGCGTTGGCACATTGACGAGAGCACGAGAAAAAGTAGCATCAACGGCGTACGATTAGGGTGGCAGCATAGTACAGGAGTTCTTTTTTGTTTGGCCATTTATGGAAAATCGGCTATGGGACGAGTCATTACGATACCCTCCTGTACTGCACAGAATCACGCATAAAACATTATTCCGAATAATAGACATGAGAATTACACACATTTTCGGTATTTTCTCAGTTATTTGTTCTGACGCTTTCAAGACGTGATAGCATATCACCTGACCGCATTTCTTGTTACTTGGAACAGTAACCAGTCTATTTGCCTGTCCCCTATATAAACAGCTACGTAGCCTAGAGTTCAGTTCTCTATTGAATACAATATCGTTACCTGGCGTTACCGAAGTATAGCTCTTTAAACCTAAGCCTTTGCAACATGTCTGTATTTACTTTTTCTCTTATTCGATGTTTCGTTGTAGTAACTAGTTATATTATTCAAACAATACTAAGCCACTGTAGTAGAGAGCCCATTGTTGTATGAAATTGAATTGCATAACTACGATATCGCGTGGGATAAGGTTTATTGCATCGGCTTTAATACCCATAGTCAGCCCACCCGTCTCCGATGAGCAAGGATAGCACGCTCACGATAGTATGAATGCCCGAATACGAGCCTAGATTTTTCTGGCACAAGTCGTCTTGACCGCCTACTTAAATTAAGCAATGTAGATTTTGCAAAGATCTCTGAGTCTCACTCACCAACACAAAAGAACCTCAGCAGAGCGGGCGAAGGTTCCTTTCAACCACGAGCCAGCTGTTTGTACTTCTCTGGTACTCACAAGAAAGCATGGCATCGATTAGTCCCAACCAGATTCTGTGGCTTTTTGTCACCGGACTTACATTCTCTTGCGCCTCCCTAGCACAGCGCGGCCATGTCTTGCATGAAGAACGCCGCACTTTGCCCTCCGGATGGCACAAAGGCGATCGTCTGGAAACGGGCATCATTCATCCTGTCCGGATTGCACTTGCACAGAACGGGTTGGAGAAAGGCGAAGAGCTCCTAATGGCCGTGTCAGACCCAGACTCGCCACGTTACGGCCAGCACTGGACACAAGAAGAAGTCCATAGCTTCTTTAGCCCAAGCGACGAATCCGTTACGACGGTTCAGCAGTGGCTCGAAGAATCCCTTCCGGCTGCCGATCTTGCACACCCCATCACGCAGTCGAGAAACAAAGGCTGTATCGAATTCTCAGCAACAATACAGCAATTGGAAAACTTACTCGGGACCGAATTCCACAACTATCACCATGATTCCGGGCGTAAGGTAGTAGCGACAGAAGTATACTACGTGCCCGCAAGCATTGTAGAACATGTCGATTTCATATGGCCTGGAATCCTTCTGTCTCACCAAATGGAAGAAGATGCGGCCAGAAACACCTTGTTGCAAAAAAGAGGCATTCCCGCCGCGCATCCAGTCAAGCAACAAGGTGCCCCAGTACCACTTCAACTGAAATCAAATCTCGAAAGTAGTAGTACCGTAGCATGCAGCAACAACCACACCGCATTAGAACCAGCGTGTATTCGAGAACTCTACGGTGTCCCGCAAGGTCCTGCGCTGTCGAATCCCAACTATACACACGCCATCTACAACAGTGGAAATGAAAAGTACAAGCAACAAGATCTCGACGTCTTTTGGTCGGCTTTTGCGCCCGAAGTGCCAAAGGGCACTGTACCCCATCAAACTCTCATCGACGGTGCAGCCGACACACGGACTAACCAAACATCTTCCGGTGAACTCCAAATCGATCTCGCCCTGACTGTGCCGCTGGTAGCTCCAAACACAGTCACGATTATCAGTCCCGATGATGCCGTTGTCCAGGGTGATCCGACCTTGACGGGCAGTCTCAATGGTATGCTGGAAGCTTTTGACGGTAAGTAAAAGAAGTGAACGCTCGCTTGCTACAATTTTCAAGAATAATTGATGGGGAACAGACTGACTAAGGAAAATTTGATTTTTGTGTATAGAGTCGTACTGCACGTATAGCGCTTACAACGTCACTGGACCTCAACCAGGCGTCGATGGGCAATACCCGAATCCAGCTCCAGGCGGATACAAGGGCGAGAGGCAATGTGGAGGCGTGAAGCCGCCAGATGTGCTTGTTAGCGCTTGGGGAGGAACAGAAGATACCTATCCCATGTAAGTTGATGATAATACTACTACTGACACGAAGCCGCCTCTTTTTTTTTGCGCCTCTTTCTAACCTAGATTCCGAAATACTAGTTCTTATTTACGCAGACAATGCAACGAATTCATGAAACTCGCACTGCAAGGCACAACCGTCCTTGCCGCAACCGGCGATCGCGGCATCGCTGGTATCCTCCCCCAATGCTGGGGTCCCAACAAGGATCGCTGGACCGTCGTCGCACCAGCAAATTGTCCGTATGTAACCGCCGTTGGCGCAACAATGCTCAAAGACGGCCTCGATATTCGGCAGCCCAACGGCGAAAACCCAGAGCAAGGCTTTCACTGGAGCGGCGGTGGGGTTTCCGCCATCCATCCACGCCCAGAGTGGCAGAATGATGTCGTTAGTAATTACCTCCAAACGGCATCAATCAACGCGCCCGGCTTCACAGGGTTAGCACCGCTGGTTGCGAACACGACTTCACTCCCCGACATCCTCCCTGATTTCGGTAAAAACGGTATCCGCAGCCTGTCTGGACGCGCGGTTCCTGACATTTCCGCCATCGGTACTCTTTCATCCAACTTTCTCATCGACAAAGGACTCGTCTGGCAAGCAGGCGGGACCTCTGTGTCTGTACAATACGTTGGCGCACTCATCACGCGCATTAATCTCGAGCGGTTAGCTGTGGGCAAACCGGTTGTGGGGTTTATCAATCCTGTGCTGTATAAATATGCAGATCGGATTGTTCGAGATATTACCCAAGGGGAGAGCAACAAAAATTGTAATGCTACTGGCTATCCGACGACTGTTGGATGGGATGCTGTTACTGGTCTTGGGGTATTGAATTACAAGGAGGCTCTTGAACTTTGGCTTAGTATCTAGTGTCCGAGGCTTTTGTGTAAATATAGCGTAAAGGTATAACTATGTGAAGAAAAGTTCAGTGTCAAAACCCAATTCCTATTCGAATACCTGAGCCATATCGTAGTGAGGAAGTTTTCCTTGAATTCCACACTCCTTTCTTTTTGAACTACTGCATTCTTCTAGAAACAAGCTATAGTCATTTAAACATTTGAAAGAAATCACCTCCTTCACCACGACGGTTTGCTAGACACTAGTCAGGATTGATCACACAATGGAAATTGGAACAAAGAAGGAATCTAAAACGTAAGAATCTATTGAAACTATCAAATCTGGCACCATTTACTCCAGGCAAATGCAATGCTAAAAAAGACTCAAGTCATTAAACTTTTTTCCCCAAATAATCCGGCATGAACTCATTCTTTCTCAACGCCGAGAGGGCGGACAGCAAAAAAGGAAATGCAGCATGATAAGCCATCCAACTTTGAAAATTATCAGACCAATGTGTGTCTAAGGATCCACGTTGTACTTGAGTCTGATGCCCATACTGGACAGTTCAACGTCAAGATACTTGAGGACACCAGGCACAGCCACGATCGCGACATCTTCGCCACCGGAGTAGCGCAAGCCCTGAGCGTCCATCCAAACGTCGTTATCGTTGCTATCAGCAAGCTTGGCGCAACGTCTGCAACGAATAGTAACGTCCTTGCCATTTCTGTCCTTTTTGCGTCCATATTCGCTGACAGTAGGTGTGGTGCTGAGGAAGGAGCCACATGTTCTGCAAACGGCGGCTTTGGTGTAATCGGAACAGTTCATCAGTCGATCCTGGAGCAGGAAGGCTGTGCCGTGGGCCAACAGAGCATCACGCTCCATTTCTCCGACACGGATACCACCACCCTTCTTCCTACCCTTGATAGGCTGGCCCGTTAGTGCGTTTGACGGACCGTTGCTTCGGACTTGGAATTTGTCGTTGACCATGTGACGAAGACGTTGGTAGAATACTACTCCAATATAGATATCAGCGTAAAGTTCCTCGCCGGTGATTCCAGAGTACATTGGTTCATTTCCATAGTAGTTGTAGCCTGCGGCTTTCAATTGGGCACCAAAGTAATCGACGGCCGTGTTCTGTTCGTCGAATTTGAACGGCGTTGAATCCTGCGCCATGCCGTGGAGCGCTCCAGATTTTCCAGCCAGTGATTCGATAAACATGCCGATTGTCATACGGGACGGGAAAGCGTGGGGGTTGATGATAACATCTGGTTGTATGCCGGATTCGGAAAACGGCATGTCAGTGGTTGGGAACTTCTGAGACACGACACCCTTCTGACCGTGACGAGAAGAGAACTTGTCTCCGACAACGGGAGAACGCGGCGTTCGCAGCTTGACTGAGACCTTTTGGCAAGGCTGGGTACCGTCTTCTGAGCCAATGACGCGGACTTCCTCAACGAAAGCGATTTCGTCCTCCTTGTACTTGAGGAACTGAGTCTGTCCATCACGGTTCACGTAGTCGCCAGTAGCTGCATCATATGAGACAGTGTGGAAAGCTGCGATGGGATCGCCAGACCGCAACATGGTCCCGATACGAGGTAAGCCGTCAATATCAAGAGTCTCCTTAGACTCTGCTTTGATGAGACCCTCAGGCGCAAAGCCAAAAAGCTTGGCTATCGACTTATTCGATCGACTCTTGCGGTTTCCTTCCTCGAGATTTAAAATCTTGGTCTTGTAGACAGTACCGTGCCCAAACCCGCGCTCGTGTGATGACTTGTTCAGAATCATAGCATCGTCCATGTCGTAACCAGTATAAGAAATAACGGCCACAACGGCGTTCATTCCGTTGGGGAAGTTGTCCATTCCATACTCATTATACAATGGAGGTCTGGCAATAGGAGTCTGACCAGTTTGTAAGCGGTAGGTTTTGTTGTCTGTTCGGTATCTCATGGCAGTTCCTGGTGTACCCATCGATTGCTTTCCCATCT